GAACTGACTCCTCCCCCTGACACGCCTTTTTTACATGGAACTGACTCCTCCCCCTGACACGCCTTTTTTACATGGAACTGACTCCTCCCCCCGACACGCCTTTTTTACATGGAACTGACTCCTCCCCCTGACACGCTTTTTCATGTGCAACAGACTCCACAGACAATACAAATGAACTTAAACGCATTCTGTTTTGAACATCTAACTTCATACAGAAACACTTTATTTAAATATTTACATTTTTAATAAAAACTTTATTTAAATTTAAAGTTAGGGTTAGTTAATTTACTAAAATGTACCATTAGTTTGAAGCTGCAGACTCTCAGTATTTGTGTTGTGAGTCATGCACTCAGCAGACAACACAGAGTGTGTGTTCATAAGACTCAGCCCGACTGTTTGAGGCCGATGATGTCACTCTGGGCCCGGCAGACCCGTCTGTGGTTCCAAACAAAGAACCGTTTGTGAGAAGGAGAGAAACAACTTGTGTTTAGGACTGATTCAAGCTCCAAACCTGAAAATAGTCTGATGTTGAAACATTTTGAGGTCCCTGATTCACCTGAAGCAGTTACCTAACATGCAGGTAGGCAGGTCTTTTAAACCCTTGGTTCTGATTGGTTCCTGCACTGTTTTTATATTTGAGGTGTTAATAGCAGCTCTGTTTTTTATATGAAATGTTTTTATTTTCATGTTTATAGAAATGTTGGAACATCTACAGAACATTTTATTTAAAACACACTTCAACAAGTCCAGCAGAGCTTGTTTCAGTTGTCTCACCCACTGACACCTGTCCAGGTATTTGCAGGTAAGAGCTCCACCCACTCACACCTGATTGTACTTCAGTCATAGTTTGATGTCAGCCTGGATCCTCTCCTCCATACCTTTGGTGACATCATCACCTTCACACGCGACATCAGAGGAGTGCGAGTAACTGCAGGTGACCTGGGAACCAGAGTTAGCCTGTTGTACTGTGGAGGGGGTGTGGTTTGCATTGGCTCCGCCCTCTCCTGCTCCACACGAATGGTGTTGCGTCCGTACAGCCTCTTCTCGTACTGCAGCAGCTGCTCCCAGAACCCTGCGTTTAGGCAGATGAAGGGTCGGCTCTTCAGGACCCAGCGGTGAGCCTGGCACAGAGTCACGCCTCTGAAGCGCATCAGGTACGCCATGACCAGCGCCGGCGAGCGGCTCCTCCCCGCGGCGCAGTGAACCAGTGTGCTTCCTGCATGGTTTCCATGGATACGCTCAGCCACTCGCTCAAAGTGTTCTCCGAGACGAGAACTAGGAAGGTCGCAGACGGGAACGCGCACACACTCCACACCTGGATAGGTAGGGAAGGCGTGGTCTAACGTGGCATTAACAATCAGGGTGATACCTTTCTGTGACATCAGCGCAGCGTTGAAGGGGGCGTCGGCCCCGCTCAGAAACAAGGTTGGAGTGACCTGAGACAGCAACATGTGACTGGGTCCAGACGTCCGAGCAGCACCGAGTCTCCAGATCCAGGTCAGATGAACTGAAAACAGCTAAAGAAAGAAACAACATTTACTACAAGCAAGCATGAAACAGACTGAAACTGTTAGCTTAGCTTAGCATACAGACATGAAATAGACTGAGACTGTTAGCTTAGCTTAGCATACAGACATGAAATAGACTGAGACTGTTAGCTTAGCTTAGCATACAGACATGAAATAGACTGAGACTGTTAGCTTAGCTTAGCATACAGACATGAAATAGACTGAGACTGTTAGCTTAGCATAAAGGCATGAAACAGACTGAACTGTTAGCATAGCTTAGCATAAAGACATGTAACAGACTGAGACTGTTAGCTTAGCATAAAGGCATGAAACAGACTGAAACTGTTAGCATAGCTTAGCATAAAGACATGAAACAGACTGAAACTGTTAGCTTAGCTTAGCATAAAGGCTGTCACTAAACTACTTTGTGTTTTGACAGAAAACAAACAGGTCCAGTCATCTGATCCTGTCTGATCAGAACTTCAGGTTCTGCTCATCAGGACAAAGTTCTGTTCTGGTTCAGAGTTCCGGCTGGTTTTAAATGATCCAGACTCAGAGGTTTACCTGTAGCTTCCTCCTCAGGTCGCAGCTGTGACTGGACCTCAGGTCCAGATGGGCCAGTACTGACAGCCAGTGACGTCATGGGTTAAATTTAACCCTGCAGCTGAAGACCTGGACCTGAGGTCACATGACCTGGACTACAAATTATAATCATATCAATAAATATTATTTTCTGCTATAAATAAAAATATTAGTCATATTATTATTTGTTTACTGTGGAAAATAAAGTTTGTCTATATCTATGAACTAAAAACTAACTAAACAGTTTTCTTTTAATAAATAATGAAAAATAAGTGTATAAGGTTAAAAATAAACTGTTGTTTTTTTGTTTGTTTGTTTGTTTGTTTGTTTTTTGTTTGTTTGTTTGTTTGTTTGTTTCAGGACAGTCAAACCACAGACTGGATGAACAGAAATAAAACATTTATGTGTACATTCTACTTCCGGCCGGAAGGGGGCAGCACCATTTATGGGCAGCGCAGCCTGACGGTACCGGAAGCTTGTTTAGATAAACAACCGGACCAAGATGGCGGAGCTGAACCGGCAGCTTCAGGAATATTTGTCTCAGTCCAAAAGCGGCGGAACCAAGACCGTGTCTCCGTCCAGCTCCAGCACCGCGGTGGACCTGGGAGAACCGGAGCCGGTGACAGGGAGCTGGTTCGGTCGATGGTCCAGTCCGTGGTCCGGCCAGAGCTCCTCCGGCGGAAACAGCGGCTTCTCTTGGCCGTGGTCGGCCGAACCGGACCCGTGCCTTCCGGGGCTGAGTCGGCGGCAGCGGCTGGTTCTGTTCGGGGTGTTCGGCTCGTTCTCGGGCCTGTGTTTCGGACTGTCGGCCCTGTACGCGCCGCTGCTGCTGCTCTACGCCCGGAAGTTCGCGCTGCTCTGGTCCCTCGGCTCCATGTTCGCCCTGGCGGCGGCGGCGGTGCTGCGGGGACCCAGCAGGCTGCTGTCCGGCCTGCCCACCTCCCCCGCGGCCGCCGTCTACCTGTGCGCCCTGCTGGGGACTCTGTACGCGGCTCTGAGCCTCCGGAGCACCGTGCTGACCGCGCTGGGAGCCGGGCTGCAGGTCGCGGTCATCCTGGGCTCCGTGGTGGCCCTGCTGCCCGGGGGCAGCGCCGGGATCCGGCTCCTGGGGGCCATGCTGGCCTCCGCCCTCAGGAGGACCGTCTCTGGGAAGACCCTGCCCATCTGAGGTCGGGGGTCTGACAGGACCGGGTTCAGGGTTCTCCTCTCGGTCCGGTCCGGTCCGGTCCGGTCCGGTCCAGGAGTCCTGCTGGTCTCTGTGGACTGTGGTGAAACTAAACCCAGAGCGCTGACTGACAGGATCAATGAGGACCAGAGACAGTTCTGACCCCAGTGGGCTGGGGTCCAGTTTGGTCTGATGGTTCTGAAACTAACGGGTTCAGTTTTTAGTCTGGATCAGAACCGTTTGTAAAGTTCTGGGTTCTTGTTTGTAACAGGTCTTCATGAGGAAATAAACCCATCTGATTTCACCTGGTCTGTCTCTATTCAGGTTTAATGTGGACCGGGTCGGTCCAACATGTGGGGTTCTAACTGGGATCATTGGTTCTGACCCGTCTGGACCTGTCAGAACTCAGGTTTAATGTGGACCGGGTCGGTCCAACATGTGGGGTTCTAACTGGGATCATTGGTTCTGACCCGTCTGGACCTGTCAGAACTCAGGTTTAATGTGGACCGGGTCGGTCCAACATGTGGGGTTCTAACTGGGATCATTGGTTCTGACCCGTCTGGACCTGTCAGAACTCAGGTTTAATGTGGACCGGGTCGGTCCAACATGTGGGGTTCTAACTGGGATCATTGGTTCTGACCCGTCTGGACCTGTCAGAACTCAGGTTTAATGTGGACCGGGTCGGTCCAACATGTGGGGTTCTAACTGGGATCATTGGTTCTGACCCGTCTGGACCTGTCAGAACTCAGGTTTAATGTGGACCGGGTCGGTCCAACATGTGGGGTTCTAACTGGGATCATTGGTTCTGACCCGTCTGGACCTGTCAGAACTCAGGTTTAATGTGGACCGGGTCGGTCCAACATGTGGGGTTCTAACTGGGATCATTGGTTCTGACCCGTCTGGACCTGTCAGAACTCAGGTTTAATGTGGACCG